AAAATCGACAAAATAAGATTCCACGTCCGCATCTTCGCCGATACCCAATACCCAATGCCCATTTCGTTCTGGTAAATATGGTCAGCCTAAATTTTCACTTCGACTACCCGCCAGTCCACTATTCCGTATAAATAAAGATGCGACGGTCACGGCTAAGTGTCGTGTGAAAGTGTACGCCGTCCTGGTAGGAAGTGTAGATCCCGAGCAACGATTCAATCGGTTGCTCCCTTTTATTCGGCGACCGAGTGCCACGGAATTCACACACCAGTGTATTCGTTTCGTGCGCGAGAAAGAAAAGTGCGACGACGATCATGTGTATCCGCATGACAATCTGTTTGGCAATCATCGTGGCCGTGGTCGCGTGTACTGTTAATTGCGAGGAAGTAAGTAACGGTGGTGCGCAGATAAGTGATCGGACAATTTCTCTTCGAGTTCGAGAGTTCGACACGGAATGGATGTGGCACGGAAGTGGCAAAATCGATCGATTTTTTTATAAAATATTTTCTTTTTTTTTTACTTTGCGATTAATATTTTATAGAATCACTTGGTATTGATTTAGGGTGATTCATTATTAGGGATTTTTTTTTGACGAATAATTTGACGAGATTTTTAAGAGTTAAAAAAAATTTCTTTTTTTTAAAAGATGAAAGAAATATGGAACAAAGTTTAGAATATTTTTTTGAATCATTGAATCATTCATCATTCACGGAATAAGATTTTGAGATATCAAACAAGCTACCATTTATTTTGTTTGACTTTATTAATCATGTCTCTAGTGAATATAAAATATATTCAGATAAAGAAAAAATATTAAATGTAAAATATATGTATCGATATAATTCTATCGATATCCTCTGCAATTTATTTCTGATCGTATAATATTTTATTTGTATTGTAAAAATATAATACAAATATGTACATTAAAAAATTAATAAATGTATTTGTTGCTTCTGCTCTTGAAATAATAAACGATATAAACTTTTATAGGTGCAATCGTCAGTCATCAAAGAGGGAATAAATTTAAACGCAACACAATACAATGCAACAATAAACGATGACAAAAATTTTTGGGAGTGGATATTGGCCGGGATATTGTCCCCTAGTGATTCCACGACTGAAAATCCGAAACCAGAAACTCCTGAAGGATGTTTACCTTGCAGTAAGTGATTTTATTGAATACTACCATTCAGAGACAAAAACTATTCTTTTTTAGTTAAAATATCTTTAAAAATTTTTTTGTGTTTCAAGATATACTATGTATTTTATAGTATAATATTTAAAGTTATCTTTCGAAGAAGTTTATATTTTAGAAATTGAGAAATCTAGAGATAATTTAATTTATTCGTTCTTTTATAAAAAGAAAAGATAAAATTTTAAATTTTTCGAGTATTTTATATTCATAAAGTATAAATCATTCATATTTTATATATATATATATATATATATATATTATGAAAATATAACAAACAAAAACGAGAAATATTTATAAAAATTAAATTACCAAAATAAAAATGAAAAAAATATGATTAAAAATAATCGTGCCAGGATGATTTCTACTTTTAAAGAATTTCAACTATATATATAGAAAGTTAAATTCCGTGGAGAGAGTTCCATGAATTTATATATATCTTTAAGTAGATTTTTTCTTAAAGAAAAATGTTAAATATTGTTATATTTTCTTTTAATAAAATTGATTGAACACGACACATATTATATTATATTTCATAGAATGCGGTTTGACGAACGTACAGAGACGTATCGTCGGTGGTGTCGAGACTCAAGTTAATCAATATCCATGGATGGTTTTATTGATGTACAGAGGACGATTCTATTGCGGTGGATCTGTTATAAGCTCTTTTTACGTAGTAACTGCCGCCCATTGTGTCGACAGGTGATTTCGCGCTTTAAAATACATTATAATAAATAAATTAATCGTAATAATACGTATAATATATTAATATTTTAATTTATTAATAACAATACTTCAATACGTGAAAACGAAAGCTCGATATTTTGCTAATGCTTATTACAATACTGTTTTATTTAAGAATCATACATCTCATCAATTTCAACGATTTTGAAATTTTATGCCTGTAATATAACAATCTTGCGCTTTGCTCTACTCATAAAAATTAATTTTTTTAATCGCGCGTATCGTATTCCAATTCTAACGACAGGTTCGATCCCAACCTCATATCGGTGCGGATATTGGAACACGATCGTAATTCCACTACAGAGGCAAAGACGCAAGAATTTCGTGTCGATAAAGTGATTAAGCATAACGGTTATTCGACGTATAATTATAACAATGACATCGCGCTCATCAAACTGAAGGACGCCATTCGATTCGAGGGAAAGATGAGACCTGTTTGTCTTCCAGAACGAGGTAAACGCTCTAAATGTTCGATAGTAATCTATAACATTGTGCACGGCAATAAATAAATGGAATTTTATCGTTACAATAATATAACAAAGAATTTTTCTAAGAAATTTGAGTTTAAGTATTAACGTATAATATAGATATATTTGAATTTGATTAATTTTTTATTAGATGAACAATTGACAGGAGATTCTAAATAAAAATGTAATAAAATTTGTGTAAAATTTTAATTTAAATTCTTATTCTCAATAAGAGAAAAAAATTTTTTTTTCTTATTTGTTTTCACACATAGAACGATCTGTTAATCATCGATGTGTCAATTTTAATTCAATCCATTCATACTAGAAAAATAAAAAGAATTCGCATTCACATGTCCTCGAGAACTTTTCAAACTTGATTTTTTCAAATCGAGTTTTATATAAAAAAAATCCTATTTTTTTTTCCCCTCGATTTACTTTTTTTCATCAAAATTATAAATCACATTTTCGAAAAGCTTGGAAAAAGAAAGAGAGAAGAAAATCTATCTATCACGTATAAAATATGGGAAAATTTTTATTGTTTTCTCAGCGAAAACTTTTGCCGGATTGAATGGAACGGTGACAGGTTGGGGAGCGACAGCAGAGTCTGGCGCCATATCACAAACTCTACAGGAAGTCACGGTTCCGATTCTCTCGAATGCCGATTGTCGCGCCACTAAATATCCATCGCAAAGGATTACGGACAACATGCTGTGCGCTGGTTACCAAGAGGGAAGCAAGGATTCGTGTCAGGTAATTAACAACAAATTCTTCTTGTCCGTTATCGTTACTATTAACACCTCTCCGCTTTTAACAACACGTACAAACGGGAATTGTTACATCTTTGTACATTTGCATCTACTTGCGTTTGTGTATCATCTGATTTACACGTGATTTACACGTCTATTTTTTTTTTTTTTATCACTTGATATATCATACAGAGAAAAGTGCTATTTAAATTTGTGACTCTTTTTTTTTTTTTTTTTTTTTTTTTTTTTTTT